GCAGTAAGCTATTCAAAATATATATTATAAAAACCTAGGAGCCATAGTCTAAGCTTCAAAACCTCTCCTGCTTTGCAGATTTTAATCAGTTTTACCGCGGCGTGTGAAGTAAATGACAGAAGCACCTTTAAAATGACGGTTGTATGGGAAGGAAGAAGCAGAGGAGCGTGGGCAGAGAACAGTGCCTAGCTTCTGGGGGAAGAATAAGGTAGTGTCTGCGAGGTACCGGGATGTAGGAAGGACCCGTGTTCTTGCTACTCATCTAGCAAATCAAGGAGTGGTTGTGCAAGTCGTAATGCAACATGTCTCCATGAAATGCGTCCTCGTTTTCTGTGGTCAATGGGATCTTTGCTGTCAGCACCACGTGCTTGCCAAGAGGGCACAGGCTGGCTTCTGGGCTGAGCCTGCTGGAAGATTTCAGAGCGCTACCTTTCCACTTCTGTTGTAACGCCTAAAGGAAACTGTTTTAGCTCCACTCTGCTTAAAAAGAGGTTTCTTTGTGCAGTGGAAGTTGACAGTGCGCTTACTGATGAGGTGTCAGTCCCCGTTCTAGGTAGAGATGCTCGAGAACTGAAGACAATTGAGGAATGTGATGGCAAAATCCACTGCACCGCTGAGTCCTCACGGCTAGCTGACGGTTGATAAATACGTGGAAATGCTCTACCTTTTCCTTATTATATTTATTAATATTAATATATGCTAAAGGAGCACCAGCAACACTAACTACAGGTACAGTTGAACATTTGTGCAGTTTTCATAAATAGTGGAAGCAGTGACATTAAACATATGCAGGAATCCCCATAGTTATAAATATTTACAAATACTTGTTTTGGCAAGAGCACCTAATTCAGATGTTCCTAGCTGCGCTCCCTAATACAGTGTGCATGTCTGTCACACGGTATGCTCCTCAAATTGATAGTTGAATTAGCCTGAATGCAAGGGATTTCCCTTGGCGTATCACTTCGTATTTCACAAATATTTAAATTTCATTACAGTGGGGGAAAAAACACACCGCTCCAGCTACGCGCAATTAACACACGGGCGCTGTGGAGTCGGTATTGATTCATTTGCCAGCAAGAGAGATCTAATGTATTATGTGGTACGTGAGCACGATCTCGCTGGGTAATTAATAATCCTTATCAGAGCCACCTGAGCGTCTCTTGGTATGCTGTGAATTGCAGTTCAAGAGATGCTTATGAATTCCTAATTCGGGCACTTCCCAAAAGACTCAAGCGTGGGAGATTGCACCCCACCCAAATGCAGCTCTGAAACGTTTTGCCTTTAGACATCAGTAGGCTTTTTTTTTTCCACTGAGATGGTCAAAGGAAGGTTAAATGCCAGACCAAGCCCACAATGTGTGGGTATTACCTTGGCAGAAGAATTTTAGTGCGTGGTGCAGGAAGGGTGTAAGACGTTGCTGCAGTTGGCCACACACGGGGCTGATTGTCGCTAACTGTTAAAATTTGCCTTTATTGCTTTAACTGAAGCAGAAGCTCGTATTTTTCTGAAGTTTCAGTTTTATTTTGCACATGGGACAGCTTGTTGTATGTTATCAGATTTCCTGCTTCTTCCGTTAGCCAGTCGGTGGTGGGTTCTCTTGCTGCTTACAGGTCTTTTTTTCACAAAGCATCAGCAGAAAAACCCATTTTTAAGTAAGAAAATTAAATTGTAAGCCCCCCAAAATATAAAATTGGGGCACAGCCTAGCATCAAGCGAGTTTTAAAGCTTATGGTTTTAAAGCTAAGAAGGGCCTTTTTGCACAGAAAACTGTGATTTAATGTGATAGTTATATTCCCTCTGGCTCTGTTATAACAAGATGGGTATCAGTATCAGCAAGGACGAGCAATGCAAGCCTCACCGTGGGTCAGCACCCCAAATCCTTATCCGAGGTCCTTGGAGCAGTTGTGAAACCTGGATGCAGTCTGTGCAGCAGGACTGCCTGAGGTGGTGAGCTGGTAAAGGCACTGCATCGCCAGTGCCCCTGCGTTTTGCTGAGCCTGCACCATATATTTCCTGTCAAATACTGTCTGTGTGGTTTGTTTTCAGCCCTAGGTGTGGAGAAATATTCATGCTGTGAGAAGACATCACGGTTCAGACAGAGCACTCGAATGGGTTTTCTTCAGTCATTTTCTGAGGCTACGACAGACACTAACGAAGTCATTTCTTTTTGCTTTTCATGGATACGATTGGAGAGGTTGCTTTTTTTTTTTTTTTTTTAATTTTTATTTTTTCAACTTTCAAAAGATTTGAAAACTTTATTAAGAATAGGCTTTGTGGAAACTGGGGTCAAAATCAGTGGAAACAATACATCTCTAATGAAACTTCTATAAGCCATCCAGATACAAATTGGTCTTTTCATTTACATTTCACTACAGATGTCAATGAAAGCACAGTTCCTTCTAAAGCATCCTAATGTATGTAAACCATTGCAGGAAGCATAGCGTGCAAAGCCTAGGAGACTGCAGATGGAGAGAAAAGGCTCCTGATTTCATAAAAATAACAAAACCTGTTTTAACATATTGTGCATTAAATATTGTTCATTTGCATACTTTCTATGGCTAGGTTATAAAAGCCCACCATGTGGTGGACTTGTTGGAAGTCTGAAAAAGATACTCTTTCTCCAAATGGAGATGTGTTAGTGGAAGCTGCTGCTTAATTATAAAACAAAAATAACTAGTTTTCTCTAGGTTTTTTTTTTTTTTCCTTTTGTAGGTTTTTAGAGTCTGGGTTTTTTGTTGTTTACATAAAATTCAATAGAATTAGGAAGGGAAACATAGGTGCAATCACCGCAAATTCTGCTAACTGGGGTTCGGTGTTTTACAACAGTCTGCCTGCTTGGAACCAGCAGCAGGAGGGACTCCTCCATCAAGAGTTTCCAGCAGATAGCCAGCAGATTGTAAAGTACTTCTTACATTATTTTTTTGCATCTTTATATAGGGTTGTATAATTTTATGTGTATCGTAGATAGTGTATCCACAGCTGAAACACTGGATAGTACAAATGTACAATACCACAAATTAAAATAAGAAAATGCTGTCAAAAGCGTAAATAGAAAAATGTGCAAAAGGAGAAGGAAAAATCACTGTACATAGGGTGGGAGTCTTGAGTACACACATGCTGTCAGGGTTTGGAGAAGGATGGAGTGAGACCCATTTTTGGAGGGAGCAGGTACCCCCTCTTAATAGCTATGGCTTGGCCCGATCCCGTTCCACGTAGAGGATTTCGTGAACCTGGAGCAGTGGGTGGTATCTGAGCACAGGCACCCATTAAATCCAACCTCGGAGAAGTCTCATCTATCGCCAGAGCGGTAAGGGTTTTGAAGGTTAAGGTTGCCAGCTTAAAATCAATCTGCTAGTTTATAAGCTGCCAACGTAAAGAGTGCGGGGCGGGCGTAAGGCGATGGGGGCGGCGGGGAGCTGGCGTGCTCCTGCGTTCAGGGGGGTTTGCAGGGGCAGTCGGAGCAGCCCAAGTAGTTGGCTTCAGCATGTATCTTGCCGGAGAGGGTGTGAATGAAATTGGGAGGTGGTAAATCTTAGTTTGAGCTTTTTTTTAAGAAAAAGCAATTTTCAGTGGAGCTCAAGGGAGAAGCCCTGTGCCAGGGGAAGTGCCTTTTGCAAGCCCCATGGAGATCCATTCACACCTAGCCAAGCTGCAAGCTGCTGAGACTTGTCATTTGTCATCTGCTTTTCCACAGCCCGGCTTGCTCCTGGCCGGCTGTCAAGACGTGGGGTGTTCTCTGAGCACTGACAGGTACCGCCCCAGGGCCCGGTGGATCAAACCGCTGCCTCCAGTCCTGGGGGAATCCCCCCCGGACCCAAAAAGGATGCTCTGAGCTGGGGAGATCCACCCCAAATTTCCCAGGAGGTTGGTGTGTCTGTGTACATCTTCCAGGTGGTGGGATTTGGAGACCCAAGGTGGAACGTGCACAGTGGACAGGGGCAGGGGCCTTTGGTGCTTCAAGTCTTGAACATCCCATTTCATGAAAGCTTTGCAAATCTTGACCTTAATTAGGCAGCCTGTCTCTCGGTTCTTCCCGTGAATGTGTGTGAGTCAAGAGGGCTGGGGTAAATCCTTCCTTGAGAGATTATTGGAATTTTTTTTTTTTGTAATGAATCAATTCTTTTATAATTAGGCTCAGAAATGGGTGGTGATCATGCCGCAAGGCAACTAGTGCTTTTGCATTTAGCTTGGGGTGTGAGGTTTGTACGGCAGACGGGAAGTAACCAGCGTTTGATGAAGTTAAAAAGATATAGTTGTCCCAGTCCATAGGAACTCCTCTATATACACAGAGAGAAGGACTGTTGGAGAAATAAGAACGCAAAGTCGTATGCTTAAAGGCTTATTCAAAAAATCGTATGCGCAAGGGAACTGAACTGGTCTTGCAAAGCCCGCGTTGATGATGGTGTATTTTGCTGCGAGTGAGTTGGTGAGCTCAACAATATTCCTTCAGCATAGGGTTTGTAGATGGTGAACATATGAGTATTCGTAATTAAAGCGTCCTAATGGGGTTTTACTTAAAACAGACGATAGAGAGAAAATGAAGATCCCGCTGGATTAGTGGTTTGCACTGGCTCAGCTCAGGACCCAGGCTCCGGCAGGGCAGCAGTGGCAGCAGACGGCTCGCAGAGCAGAAGCGGGGACCCAGCCGCACCCTTTGGCAGCCGCAGAGTGGTTGGGGAAGCACCTATTTGGGCGGAAGCTTTTGGTCGTTGTCTTAGATTAGGTGCTTTCTGAACAGGATGCTTGTGCTTGTAAACAGACTGTGCCCTGAAGCCTGGAGCATATAGTGCCTGTGGTTTAGCATGAGTGCTGTCCTGAACTAGAAATGGGACTACACGAAGTGCCTGTGAGTCTTAGTGCAGGAGCCTCTAGATGAGGAAAATGCCATTTTTCCTATTTCTATGAATTAAGCGATGTTATTGTCACCTGATAGCAGCTTCTGGTTTAGCCCTGGGAAGTCTGCCTGTGTTCATTTGCTTTTTCCCCTCATCCCTTTGCAGCAGCAGCAGGAGATGCTGGCAATGAAGCATCAGCAGGAGCTGCTGGAGCACCAGAGGAAGTTGGAGCAGCACCGACAGGAGCAGGAGCTGGAGAAGCAGCACCGAGAGCAGAAACTTCAGCAGCTGAAAAACAAAGAGAAAGGAAAAGAGAGTAAGTAGCAAAAGCTCACTTGTTTCAGTGATGACAGGTAGAGCAGATGAATGGAAGCCATAAAGCAGCTTTACAAAGCTGGAGAAACCTTCATGATAGCCTCTCTACAGAGCTCGGCTGCACGGGGAGCTTATGTAAACTGTTAGGAGGTATTGAGGCTCAGAGAGAAATGTATTTCTATGCTTTATCTTCATTTTTGTCTTACTAAATGCCATTTTAGCGTTTTTCAAAAGGAAGCGTATCGTCTCTTTACTTGATTTAACATTTTTTGAAGTATTTTTGGCAGCGTTCCTAATGGAGGCAGAATATTAAGCCCATAAAATACACCAGATGCACACTGCATTTCTTTTTCTTTTACTTTTCTTAATTTCACTCTTTTAAGATGTAACCGAGTTCTCAGTTCTTAGCTTTAAAGTGTTTTCATTCAGAAAGTACTTCTTTCATGAGGTTACAGATCGTGTTTGGCTTTCCCATGTGTCATTATGCACTTCACAAGATTCAGTAAAATGATTATGGCCTCACAAATCTCCTTATCAAAGACACTTTGGTTGCTTGTTCGGTTTTCTTTTAGAAGTGAATGGGAGGACAAATACCTCGCCAAGTTGTACTATCAACTCGTTAGGTCTTCATTTCAAATGAAATAAAGAAGCCAGTGATGGAAGAAGCGGAGAGGGCTGAAGGGAACCAGGAGATGGGATGCTGTCTGGGGACCAGGAACAAGATAAAGCTCCAAGAAGAATTTTTCTAGGAAAAGACTGGGGTCTAGGAGACTAACAAAAATTATCTGAAGGTTGAATTCCCCACTCCCTGCATGTGCATCTTGCAATGGCAGACTTTAAGCTGCAGCCAAAATGAGGGAATACCCCAATATCTTCGCAAAGCAGTTCATAGGAGGTCCAACGTGTCTGTGTGTGTTTGGTTTGGGTTTCGCTCATTTTAAATACTAGGAGAAAGACCAAAGGGTAAGAATCTACTTGAAAGAAGCAGTTTAACATTCAGGAGTGAAGAAAGGTGATGATAATGCAGATTGGCTACTCTGGTGACCAGCTGGCTGCCACACGCGATGCTTTCTGTTGTCCTCTGGCTGCTTTGTGTTATTTTCCAAAATAAAGGCAGTCGGTTCGAACTGGATGAAAGCTATAAGCATTTCCACTTCACCCTGCTGTTCTCATCAGCTGTTGATATTGTATCAATGTTTTGCTGGGCCTCTCTGCAAAATTGATGTCTGGCTATTCTCATTAAAGTAATTTGAAAATAAATAAAGAAAAATGTCCGAATCTCTCTAAAATGGCAAAAGCACAGAAGCACCTTTTGGATGAAACACATAGGTGTAAAGGAAAAAACCAGAATTTGGGGATGTTAAGTTGAAGATCCTGTTCCCATGGCTACAGTTTTATTTTTAAATTACTTTTTATTTAAGAAGTACTATGGTGTATAATCATTATAGCACCTCAGCTCTTAAGAATACTTAGGTTATTTTTCTCACATCAGAAAATTTTGCTAAGCACAACACAGCTAAAATTGTCCTGATCTGAAATAGGAAGAGTGTGTAATAGATGTAGAGTATAGTTTATTCTCCTTCCTTCCGCCATCACTGTAAGCCCAAATGTATTGGTTTGTACCTTTTAGAAGGCAAGTCACAAATCGGTTTAGATTAACATAGTATCAGCTCTTTGCGTTCTCATCTCGGAAGCCTTACCTGTCCCTCATGAACTGTCATCTGCTATCATAAAGCTTCTCATCAAAAGCATGACTTCCACGAAAGGAAGGAAAATGTATATGAAAGTACCGGTGGTTTTTGTGCGGGATAAGGAGCGATAGCTGGTCGTACTGTCTTTCCACTTTTAAGATTGAACCTAGAACCGGTCCTGTGCATCGGTGTTTCCAGACACTTCTGGGATTGGACCATTCAATCCCTTGCTGCTCAGGCAGCCTTGGACTGTGGCTTGTCTTGGACATTCTCCTACAAATTGGCCAGCTGTGATCAGCCCACACTATCATTAAGGACTTCCTCCCATTAATTTCCATTTGTTCTGCTCCTCTGCTCTTGTGTTGTGCAACCTCTTCCTTTCACGAGAGCCTGGTCCTCCTTCCACCCTCCCTTATTCTCTTCCCACTACCCCTGCCTTATCCTGTATTCAGATACTATTTGATCCTGGGACAATATGTAACTTGTTTTTGTCTCTGTGGTAGTAACCGGCTCAGTCTTTGGCTCTTTAGAGCCATCCTGTCTGCAGTACTTTGCTCATTGTGGCTCCCTCCTGTTTGCAGTCTTATCAGTTGATCTGCTCTTTGCTCCCTGCTCTTCTTAAACACTCAGGTCCTCCAAAGTGAATAGGCCAGCTTCACGGCTTGGGTTTCTCCACCGCACACAGCCGCTCTAGCCAGAGCTGCTGTGTGGGCTCTTGCCCCTCCGGTTCCTTCTCTCTCATCCTCCTTTTACTCTGCTGTGCCTTTTGCTTCCATTGGGGTTGAGTGTCTTGCTTCTGCCTATGGGCTTATTCCATACGTATGAGCTTTTGATGTCTGACTTCTGCTCTTGTCGTCTTCGCTTATACCCCTGCATGGTATATACTATCGCATATGTGACAGGTTGTCCCCTTCTGCCTTTGGAGTCCTCTTTCACATCTTTACTGGATATTGCGCAGTGCTTCTGCCTGTAATGATGTGACTGGGTCCAAAATAACCCAGTATAGTATATTAAAAGTGAGTTAGATTGTTTTTTTCCTTTTGATCTTTCAACTCAAGGGTCAAGAGCTGAGTAATGGTCAGAAGGTCTTGCATGACAGCTTGGTCCATGGCTCCGGTGTTGCCCAGGGAAGGGGAAGCCTACAAGTTTTTATCTTGTTAAGCAAATATGGGGCCTTTCAGCTTCTAATTAAGGAGGAAGACATGCCAGGGGAGCTTTTGTAAACCTCAGGATCCAAAAATGTTTAGCTTCAAGTCTTCTAAATAATGTCAGATTTATCCCAAACTGACAGAACACAGCCATCTTGGATTATTTTGAAGATGCTTATAGATTAAAGATGACACTTTTTGGAGAGAGAAGGCCTTTAAGCATGAATTTGTCACCTATTCTGGTCTACCATGTGGCTTGCTACACTCAGATGAATTTATCTCCAGCTCCTCAGTTGAACTTCCCATTGGGCTACACGCCAAACCTATGTTTGTAGAGCTAGTGAGAAATGCAGGGCTTCAAAAAGGTGAATTTTCAAGCTTTTCAACACAGCTTCAGTAGTGTTGAACGATATTACATCTTCAGCAGTGCTTTATAGAAATATTTCAGTTTTCTTCTCTTGCGGAGATACAAAAAATTGTTTCCCCGGTCTGTCAAATGTCATTGTTGAGTAGGATCCAGGAGACAAAAGATCACCCTGTCGTATTTTAAGTTTTTATTCCCAATAGAGCAGACAGTTTTCCTGGCCTTTTCATTTTCTTGTAGCCCAGATATTTTCCTTTGGAATTCTTGCTTTACGCCGTGGTATAGATGAACCATCATTTTCCACATGTTCTGCTTGCCAAACTTTCTATGCATTACTCCATCAGGAACTCTGCCTGCGAATCTGTTCTGTCAACCGAATGATAATTTTAATCCATCATCGCAGTAAAACAGACTGGTCTCTATTGTGGAGGAAATAATGATTAGAAATTACACAGTTGACATTTTAACTCTACGCTACAAAATTACTGACTTTCTTCTTTAAATGTTAGATTTTCTATTTGAAGAAATAGATTACACACTTCTAAATGAATTGGAATATTATGTAGGTCTTATTGTACACAGATACTTTTGAACAAAGAGGTCCCTATTTACAAGAGTTTTCAAGACAAAATCTACATATGAGACATTCGTCTCATTCCCCTTCTGTTTGCAGATGTGACATTTAAAAACTTGAGTGTACACAAGACCCTTTTTCTTAAATACCTTTGATTAAAAGAAAGCTGGAATACCTAGTACAAATGCTTTATTCTAAGTGTATTTTTATGCAAGTTTTAAAAATCCTCTTCAGAAATCTTTTATAGTGAAATGGTAAACCTCTGATTAAATTTCTGTTTTCAAACATAAGTTGTGATTATATGCAAAGCTAAAGGCAAAAAAAAAAAGGCGAGCTCCTCACTGGAGGCGCTTTGTTCTTTTCTCTTTGAAAGAAAAGTTCTTCTTTTGGACTGAAAATGAAAGATTTAATTCTGAATCTTTTTAGAAATTTAAATTCTTTAAAGTACGTGAATTGATTAAATAACCTTTTATATTTTCGGCATTTCAGGTGCAGTGGCAAGCACAGAAGTAAAGATGAAATTACAAGAATTTGTCTTAAATAAGAAGAAGGCATTGGCACACCGGAATCTCAACCACTGTATATCCAGTGATCCTCGCTTCTGGTATGGGTAAGTGGTACTGGGCTTATCTTTATGATTCAGCCGGTGCCACCTTTTTTCACAATTGCTGGAGATGTGGGGAATAGACCTGATGTGTCTACTGGATGAACCAGAACAGTGATAGAACCAGGGTTTGACTTTGCTGTACATTACCAAAATGCATTTTTTAGAGGGTTTCAGTGTGAATAATTTTCATATCTTCTGTGATGGTCACAGTAATTTTGTGAGTAGAGGTCTTTGCTGGCATCTTTAATCCACAGTTATTCAAACTCGCAAGTTCTACCATCAAGATCAACCTTTATACGTTCTCTAGCTTTTCGCCCAGGATTTCGTCCTGCCAGGTGTTAAAAAACTTGAACTTCAGCAAAATGGGGAAATTACTTTTTATGTTTAGTGAATTGCAACTCAGGATATTTGAGCTAGTGTTACATTTTTAAAGCCTTTAATGCTTACTGCTCATCTTAATCTCTCAAAGTTGGAAGTTTTGTTTACTTAGCTCTTCCTTGTCAACTGCTGGAAACATCAAGTGTGTCCTGTCTGCACTTCTAATCACAGTTGCCCCAACATCTACGTTTTCAACTGAAAATTTTCAACTGTTGGTCTCCAAGAAAACCCAAATGTCATGTGGGGTGAGAAGGTAACAGCTGATGTTATAATGACACGGGAACAAAGAGTGACTTCTTCAATTAGTTCAAATGAACCAAATAGCAAATATAAATGATGGCATTATTAACAAGGTACAAGTTTCAGTTCCAGAAATTCACTTCTTCATTGTATAAAAGAAAATCAGAAAATTTGAGATGATTTGAAAAGTTCCACTACTATAGCATTGTGAATATCTATATTTAAAAAAAAAAAAAAAAAGTTTTTTGGATGTTGCCTTTAGTGACCATAAAATTAATGAACTTTTGGATGACAAAAGTCAAGGAAATTTTGCTGTCAAATCTGTGTTCAAGCTGAGTGTCTGACAGTATTTTAAGTCTTAAGAAATTTACATGTATACAGGGATGGTGAGGTCATAGCCAGAAGATGTTCCAAATTCAAGAAACTAAGCTGAAATTACATTTGAAAGGTATCCCAGCTATGAGCCAGTACAGAAATGCTGAAGAGTAGTTGGCAGAAAAATTCAAACATTATTCCAGTAGGGTGAGATTGAGCAGTTTTAACACATCTCTGAAAATCTAATCTGAGACTTGAAAATTGTATGGCACTGGTTAAAGTAGTGAAATGTTGTTGGTTTATGCAAAGATAATATTTAAGGCCCACTAGGTTGGTATCAAGGATGGTAGAAGAAATAGGAGAAACTGAATTTTAATCAGGACAACATAAATATCTTTTTTAGATAACTGATATTCCACTGTTCTTAATTGAGACTCACCAAGAAATTTGGGGATTTTATTAAAGGCGGTTGAAGACTCTCTGAGCCACTATGTTCTTTTTTTTTTTTTTCCAGTTGGCTAAAATGCCTGTTAATGCAAAGGTGGTATAAAGTCAATTAGAATTAAGGATAGTAAAAAAGTACTTTCTTCCAAAACCTTTGATCCTCTGGTCCTAGAGAAACCTGACATAGAATTGCCATCACAGGTGAATTTAGAAAAGAGAAAAATAAATTTGGGAGTGATCTGAATTCCTTATGTTTTGCGCAGTTTTCAATTAACTGCTCTTTCACCAAGAATCCAGCATTCAGAGATGAATCGAAGAGCAGTGGTCTGTAATACCGTATATATTACAGGGCCAGGGTCATGCAGAAGGTTATTTAGCCAAGTTGTGTTTAAGGTTTCGATATGTTTCCTGCTTTGTTTTAAGCTAATACTGAGAACTTTCTGAGCACCAATATTTTGTTTAGGTTTATTGAGGCATATGTTAATCAAAACATCCCTTTCCTGTGATGCTCCAGGGATGCCAACAGGTAGAGACAACGTACAAACCCTTGCACAAGGGGCCATCCTTTTTCTTATGGATTTAATGGGCTTGCTATCCCCTCATCTTCCCTCAGGCTGTTTCGTGGTGGGGAGAGGATCGATATTTTGGTTTCTAACACAAGATGTGAAGAGGGAAGAAAGAGCCTTGGAGGCCTCACAAATCTTTCGAAGGGTCTGTCTCAGTGATAAGTCGCAGGCAGGCAAGAGCTCATTCTGCTCAGCCTTTGAGGAGGGCAGATGGCAGCAGGGCTGGGTGACTGTAGTGTCTTATCTTGCGGTGGAGGATTTTTAAATGCACCCTTCAGTTGTCAAGGCAGAAGCTGAAGATTTTTAGTTTCCATTATATTTAAATTTTTTTTTTTTTAAAAGATAAAACCTTTAAATTAATTATATATTAGTATTTATTTATATGGCATCTTATGGGTTACCAATTTCATTATAGAGATATTTATGTATGCACATACTTCTAATGTGATTCAATTGGGTGGTGTTTGGATTTAACACACGCAAATGAGGCTTGCAGAAGATAGACTTGATGCTCCTACTGTGAGCAGGCAAGCCAATTAAGTGGTAACAGATGCTGAAATAGTCTTTTAAATGACACGCCTGCTTTTAAGCACTTCCTTTGGTCTTATTAAGGTTTGTGAATTCCTTTTTTAAAAAGTTGAAAGCATTACTTGGAAAAAACCAGATCTCCTAAGGGTATTGAACACCACAACGGTTCTACGTCAATGGCTGTGACATGAAATATGTTCCACTGACATGTGAAATAGCTGTCATTCCCCTGGCCCTTTGGGCCAGGCTTCAGTTGTCCACTGAGATGTCTAGATGCTTTTGCCTTCAGTATCTTGGATCTGTTTGAACTTCATTCAACACTGTTGGTTGCTGGTGCAAGCTTGAGTGTTTATAGTCGGTGCATATTTTCTAATTAATCACTGGTGTTAAAGGGCATTGTTGCATGCACACGTGCGGATCAGCCCTTGAGATGAAAAGGGACCAGTTTTAGAGGTTTTGCAGGGTATAGTCATAGTCTTAAATGAAAGAAAGGAACTTGGTAATGCTCAGTAATGTTTCTTGGAGGCTTTCACAGAGGTCTCGCTCAGTCTTCAGCTCTATGGTATTCAAGCCACTTTGTAAACGCTGTTTAACATATACAGCTTCAGTCTATATGTTTATGTTTAAAATAGCTTTGTGGACTATAATTTTCAGATTACGTTGATGATAGGCAGCAACAGAAGAGGTTCTCTTGAATTTCGTTGTCAGACTGTCCCTCCTGTGGATTCTGAACCCACTGGACAGCCCTGCTCCCAGGAGGTTTTGCTCTTCAAGATACTTAACATAAGTAAGAGTGGCTTAGCAGGAACACAGACAGAGCACCTCGGGCTTAGCAAACAGGGCTATTATTTCCCTAGGAAGTAGCCACTCAATGTGGTAGCAAATAATGAAAGGGAGTTTAAGTGAGTATTTGCATGGTAAGGAGGTAGAGAGATATAATTACACACTAAATTATTCCAATGTACATAGGTGTCTGCAGACTCTGTACACAAAATATTCTAGCAAAGATACATATGTTTGAATATATATTCAGTTTACATTGCGTGAATATGTTTGAAGTATCATGCGTGCTTTGCTGTGCGCATGGGTTTTTGAAGGACCTCAGAGCTCAAAGAACAGGGGATGTGTTATGTGAAGGTATGCCTGCAGACTCAATATAGTATACAATTTCATCCCTTTCAAGACCTCTGAAATTCTTGAACAGGCATGCAGACCAGTGCATTTTGCTCGAAGCAGCGTAGGGTGTTGGATCCCGGTCCTCGAGCAATATAATGTATTCCTGTTTGCAGAGTTAAAGATCTGTCATTCAGCAACTCCGAAGCACATCTAAACAGGCTTTTTGAGTCCCTGCACATTCCCTAACAAAGTGATGAAAATAGCTTCAATGTACATGATTGTGCAGCTTAAGTCATGATTAAAAAAAAAAGAGAAAGAAAAAGTGTATTGCTTGTATAGGCAACAGCAAAAAATGCCATTGTGTGACGTGGTGGGTTTGAGGGCTCTTGGCTTGCAGCGTCCCGGCTTCCTGTTTGTGAAACATCTCTCTGTGCTGCCTTCCCATGGTATGAGCAGATCCGGGCAGAGAAAGCGACTTCTGTTTTCGGGAGGGATTCAAATATTTTTCAGTTTGGTTCTGTTTTGATTTCAGGTGATGATTAAACTGTGCGTGCATGTGGGCATTTATTGGTGCGAATGTAAAAGAGTACACGATGTGCACGAATGCTAATGAAAAATATAACTGTGTAAGAGCCCGAAAAATTATTCTGCCTGTACGTACAGAGAAGTTTGGAATATAAAGGGGGGAGGATTAGGAAACCACAGTGAATCATACTGCTTGGTAAGAACTGTGGGTATAGAAAATTTTGATGTAGATGTTCAATTAAACTTTTCCGAGGTTTTTTGTAACAAAATCATGTAGAAAATTTGATGCATTTTCCTGATGTTTCATTAGCCCCTTATTTTTTGAAGGGTTTAACTTGTAGTGGAATTGATGCTATGTATCTCACCAAACAGCCTACTTCTGAGTTGAGCTTTCAAAACGTACTGCTCACGGAATTGAATGAATTGGTGTAATTTTCAACTGGGGGATGGCTCATTTTGGTTCCTTAAAGAACCGTTTGTAGGAGAATATTTTTTAACCAGGGTCTCCAAGAATGCCTGCTTATTAAGCAATGTAAAATTTCAAATCTTCACTTCTTTTCGCAAAGTGCTCGCTTTCTGTTGTCCCATATTCTTTAGTAATTTGAAGAAGTAATACAGGGTTTAAATTCTGCTTATTAAAGCTTAAAATGTAAGATTTTTTTTGATAGCTGCATGGCTGTCACCTGTATTGCTAAATCAATCATTCTGTTGATGTAGCTACTCTGCTAACATGCACAGTCTGGAGACTTCCCGAAGTCTGTACTGATCGGGGTTGGTAGAGCTCCTGAGAAATGGCAAGGCTGGGCACGAGTCATTAAGTAGGAAAGATGCAGCCAACAAACTGGTACGAGGCTTAGAAAACTCATTCATTATTTAATATCCTTAGCAAACAGACTGTAATTTACTTCCAGCAGCCTGCTCAAACAAAGCTATAAATTATCAGCTTCGAGAAGTTAATCTGGAAAGGTGTTGAGTACTTTGGCCCTATCTCTGTTAAGTACTTGGGTCGGGAGGCAGCGAAGCAAAAGGCAGAAGACCACCTATGCAGCACGGCTGCTGTTAGCCAGTTTAAACGTGTAGCACCTAATGTGCTCGTCCTTCGGTTTTGTTTCATCCTTAGACTTTGTCTACTATGTCTGGGTTCTATTCAGTGAAGGGAAATTGTTCATTCGTGCTACGGTTGAGGGCAGTAACAACACCCATGCTTAGCTTCAAGAATATGACTTAGCAAAACCCAGCCCAAGTACATACTTAAATTTATACTCATGGTTAAATACCTTCATGAGTTGAGCCATGCTTAACAGGGTAATTCTTATACTGAAAATTAAGCATATGTTTAGTTACCTCCCTGTATATTGGACCTTAGTTTCTTTTTTGCATGAGTGCCCAGGAGGGGAAAGCTAGCACCAAGATCTTTTCCTTTGCACTGTTCCCCACTAACTAAGATAACAGACAAGGTGAAGCTGCACTCGTTCCCTTTGTGTGTCACTGGTGTAAAGCTTCTTCCTTCTCTTTCTCTTTCCTTCTCTGTAGGAAGACACAGCACAGCTCTCTGGACCAGAGCTCCCCACCCCAAAGTGGCGTATCCGGCACCTACAATCACCCTGTACTGGGGATGTACGATTCCAAAGATGACTTCCCACTCAGAAAAACAGGTAGCGCTCACGTTGATTTTCTGTGTTGCCTACTGTCTGCTGTGACACTTGGTCCTCTTTTTTTTTTTTTTTTTTTTTTTTTAAAAAAAAGGTGTGTTACTAAAAAGGTGTATTTCATGGGGTGATTTATTTAACAAGCACCCACTCCATCCTGCTCCCCCTTCATCTGTCACTGTGTGCGCAGTGTTAGAGGGAGGCTGGAGTTGCTTTGGGTGTGCAGACATGCAAAGCTGCAGGCAGGAGACAGCGGCGTTGTGTGTCAAGTTTGAGAGATGTTTTCACAAAGTCAAAGCTAATACAGAGATCTGGGTGTCTGAAGTCGAAGTATGTTTTGCTGAGTGAGAAAAGTACCAAGAAAAGTTCATTTCTTCTGGGATTTGCATTTTATATACAAGTTTATACTTAAAATAAATAAAAATGTTTCTGCCAGTCAAAGCGTCGGTACTTCCTGCAAAGGTTTTGGTTCACACCTAGACAGTTATTTCTCAGTTAAGTTTTTCCCTGCACGGTGGCTAAGCAGGTCAGTTATTTCTCAACTATATATTATGTAAACCACGTTGTTTTGGTTGGCTGTGGTCCCCAGCTCCATATTGCATGCCTAAGCCAACACAGCCTCAGCTTCTAGCCTGGCCAGCTCGTGATCCTCGGCTGCTTCCTTCGGGGAATAGCTGAGCTTCCACGAGCTCATCCCAGTTTGGGGAGCAATGCTGCTCACATGGATGGTGCAGACAGTGCTGTGTGTTGGAAAATGCTTCAGAATAGGGAGAGAAACTTTTCTGAAAAGATGGAGTGCAGGTAAGAGGAAAGCAGAGGTGTGATTGAACTTTGTACCTTCTGCAGGTGCTGCCTAGCTATTTTTCAGGTGTGCTTTGTGGATCTTCAAATGTGGAGGGATGAGCACCAGTACTCAAAAAGTATGACATCCTTGTGATAAGGCGTGGTGATGGTGTGTTAACCAAATCTACCTGTGAGTTTGCTACTGTCTTTGCACAAATCGGCTGCCCTAAGTCAATTCCCAAGAGCTGGCAGCCCTTCCGTTTCCTTCTGAGAGGGATGTAGGTGTTCTCAAGGCACTTCTCCTAACAGTTAGAAGTAGAGCTGTTCTTTGGTGTAGTGAATGTTTTAACACAATTCTCATTACCTTTGTAAACCTGGGATGTTTTTTCTTCTTTCACCATCTGATGAGAAAAAAATACACCTCCTCACACACGTCTTGTGCCTCCTGACTCCCAGTTCTGTGGATTTAAAGTTCTGTGAATTTAAAGACCTTTTTGGGAACTTCTCATTCTGAATCATAGCACCTGGCTTCCTGGACGGATCTGTGGATGGATTCCCATCTGCTGTGCAGTGGACTGTCTTCCACCAGGCATGGTGGGTTAGGTGGCAAGTGGCAAACACTTCAGCTGCACAAGAAGTCAATCAAAAATCGGCAAGCCCTTTCCAGGATATGGGTTTTTTCCTGGGGCACACCCTGTACCTTTGGTGGTGGTAGTTTTAACTGCTCCCTTCCTGGAAGACTCCAAAAGCAGAGCTTAGAAAACTGGATTTCCTGAAGGGTAGGGCATCCTCTAATCCCTACTCCTAGATAATGAAAGACCGAAAACCCGATAAGGTGCAGTAGATGCTGCTGTGTTGTCAGTGCCCGGGACAGCCAAAGCGACACTGGGCTTTGGGACTTTGCCTTTCTTAGGGAAGGTGAGTGCTGATGGAGGACTACCCTCAAAGGAGGATTCCTTCAGCAATAAAGCCAGTGAAACTCAAACATGTGCTTGGCGTATATGTCTGCCTGGGAGGAGAAACGCAAGCCTGGGCTGCTAGCAGCCATTGCTGCCATTCGCTTCTCTCTGCTGAAGGCTTTCGGGCTCCTCTGGGGAAATTGCAGCGTTTCCATGCAGAGAGGCATCCCTTAGCACCATACCTATTGCTTAGGGCTTGTGGACAGGGTGATTCCAAGAGATTTTCAGCTCTTTCCTACACCTTGTGAAACCAGGTGATCCATTTCTGGTGCATTAGCATCCCCACAGCATAAACAGGCTTTGACATGCTCCAAAACCTCCCTTGCTCATCACTTCAGGGGACCTTACTTGTCAGATTAATTTTGAGGATCAGTTGCCGTTCTTGCTCCCAGTGTTATGGAAGGGGATTTCTGCAGGAGAAAGAAAGCATCTGCACATCTCGCCCCTTTGCTGCTTCCCAGACTGAGCCCTCAATAAGTAACTGTCTGAATAAAAGCCCTGTCAGACAGGGTGAATTAAGGATGATAAATGTATCTAATCACATTATTAAAAATGGAAGCAACCAAAATCATTGTTGTTTTAAATCAGGAAGATTTTGAGCTGATTTTGTTTTTCCAGAATGCTGATGCCTGTTCTTTTTGGGCACCAGCATTAATCTTTTGGGGACTGGTCTGTGATACATATGAGTTCACTTGCAAGGTTCAGGGGAGAAATTTTTTTGTTGTTTTCCTTTATTTTCCTTTCAACACAACAGCACTTCAGTCTCTGGCACAGCGATATCCTGCAGAAATCTCATTGCCAAGAATGTTAAGTTGCTTGGAGAAGAAAGGCTCCTGAACAGTCTGGTGTAAACAAAAGGCAGGGAAGGCTGGAGCCCATCCTAAATAAAGTTCTTTATTACGGGTGAGCTTTTCAGATTTTTGGCACCAGGCAAAACTCTGGCTTTGTGTTTGTAATTTAAAACCACCATATCATGTAGTCCAATTTTATTAAATTTGATTAAATATCTACAGTTCAAATGAAAGAGTCCATCACAATACAGTTCTGATTACCAGGGCTGGAATCTGACCGACATCATCGTTAGGGGTAGGGTGACTCAGGGGGCTGTGGGAAGGCAGTTTGAATGATCGTTTCTTCTAGGGTGCGTTTTCAGAGTTGGCAGTGTGTCCTGCGCGTTGATAAATTGTTCAGGAAGAATAAATATGTCATTGCATTGGGTTTTAAAAAGACTACCTTTCTTTACTCTCGCTTATTTAAAGCATCATGATGTGGTCACAGGTTATCCCTCTGTGCACGCTTGGAGATGACTTGCTAGTCTAAAACTCGAGTGTGAGTGTTGTGGGAGAGGCCCAGTGAACTGGCCACACTCGCTTTGGTAGAAGTAGATGTGTGCATGAATAATGTCTGAAGAGTGCTTGAAAACGTTCAGCATGGGAAACAGTCAACGCTTGCAATGTGCTCCTAATGCATCCTGTCCCCTGAAATCCTACCCTGTCTGATTTGTTTTACTTAAGTATGTTCCAGTTTCTTGGCTGTTTGGTTTCTGCATGAAATTGTTTTCCTGTCAGGCTGCTGGCTGGTGCAGCTACTAATTGCTTGAATCCTGTTTTTAGCCCAGCTGGGGGATGATGCATTTCACTCAGTTCCCTCTATCTAAACACTTCGGAGGTCTTCCTTTTTTTAACTGAACTAAGAACAGTTCAGTTGGTGCTGCTCATGCTTTTGCTGTTGAATAACTGGATTAACACCAGGATTTTTATTTCCCCTTTTGTGTAGTTTCCTTAATTATACATTTCCTTTAGTATACGCATTTTGTCGACAGCTGTTGAGAGGGGAGAATGTAAGTGACCTTTTCTGCCCCCAGATCAAGGTTGGTACCTTCCGAATTTAATGAAACTTCGTTATGTGCCGTACTGGAACCCTGTAAGAAAATCTCTGGAGAATCCTTTCAGAATGATTTTTAGAGTCTGGGTTGGGGCAGTCTTTTGTAGCCTGTTTTGATAAGTCCAAGAGTTGTTTGTCAACAGCTTTCTTGGAGCTGCTGAAGTTCTTTTTAATGTGGCTCTTCAGTTTTGTGTTTCTAAGGAATATGATGTCCTCATTTTCTCCCCAGGAGCAAGGTTGTTCATGGTGTTCCCTGCTTTGTGGAATTTGAGCAGTGGACATATTAAAACATGATTTTAATTAGAAAGCCAACACAACCACCGTCACTAAGATTCGTAAAAGACGGAAGAGAATTATTTAACTTCTTAACATGCTTTTCCGCTTGCTTATGTAGAGTTTTTGGTTTGGTTTTCCTTTTTTTTTACATCCTGTGCAGGGCTGGACCATGTCCTGTCAGACACTAGCTTTCTCGCTTACTCCTGCATAGGGGTAGGGTGAGGATTCCTCACGTTCATTGGGACTTGACAGCTAATCAGGATTTCTGATGAAAGCCACAGCATTTCAACCAGTTGTTGTTAAAATCGGGAGAAGTTTTGCCAAACTCAGTACCTGCTTAGAGGTACCTGGCCAACACACATTCAGCTTGCTGGGATGCATGAACTGGAAACATATCCCTGTATTTATATTTAAACCTGACCCCAAAGTGAGAAAAACAGCTAATTTCTTTTGAAGTACTCGCAGAAGATGTTCTCCTAAGTCGGAAGTGTAAAAATGGCTACATCTGTCGGACCCACACGGGATGTGAAGCAGGCTCAGATCTCATCATGGTTTTGCTCCTGCTGTTGGGTAAAGCAAACCTTTCCCAAGACAGCCGCTCTCCTTCGACCCTCCTCGTGCCCACGTAGGAGGGATCTTTCCCTTTACTGCTGCTGAGTTCCCCTGCCCTGGACTGGCTGCTGGTCTTTAAACCTTTTTCCTGACAGATCTGTCAGCAGAGGTGGGATTTTTGACAAAGCTGATGTTATCAAAAATGCGCTATTGTTTCATTTTGTCCTTTTTTGTTTGTGCTTCTCAACACTCCGGCTTTTGCCTAACTGCTGTGGTTCGTTCCTCTTGCATCCATCAAGAGCAATGGGTGGCTGGTTTTTGGTGTCTTTGGCTCGGTTCCTGGGGCTACTTGGCCCATGGCTGCAGTCACGGTCACTGTTTCGTGAAGCATCGCTGAGGCTCTGGGTCCTGCCTTTTCCTTTCCCTCCAGTATCACAGCTGGCTGCACTGGGGAGGTGAAGATCAGAAGGACGTTGATGGGGACGAAGATTTTAAGGAGGTGAAGGATTCCTGTGGTCCCAAATATGTTTTCACTGCAGAGCTGTGGGATAG